CCTTTAACAAATATCAATAAATGTTTAAAAGGTATTACATTGAAATCTGTTGAATAGAGTATAAATTAGGTTTGTGGGTAACGTTAGATCAAATAATGCTATAAGCGGATAATCACCGTTAATGAAGATCATTATCTTCGGTATAATTGCCAAAACTAAGAACAGTGTTTGGGCCATAAAAGGCCCGGAACAATTTTGCTATCTGGGACAGAACGAGCCGGTCGCGCGAATCTCAGATGGCACCGCTGGGAAACCTGTGTGAGTGTGCGTGAGCAGACTGTCATGTGTCAGTCGTGTCAGTGTGATAGCCTAGGTTATAAAAAATGCACATGAAAAGTTGTGAAAGTGGAATGCAGAAGCAGGATGGTTACCATGGTAACGAAGGACGCCTGCTTGTGCACACCAATGTAAATTGTGTTACATGAACTTACAAAACTATCAGATTAAAGTTGGAATATCACATTTATTCGTTAAGTTTAAGTGTAACATCTTCATAAAATATATGGGTATATGTGTTAATATAACACGTATTTTCCGGTAGCGTCTAGGATATTTGATGTGCAGGTGGAAGATTTCAACAGGCTACAGAAATCACCTTTAAGATGTTTAGACTTTGGAGACATTTACACATAAGTGGGCAGTGGAATGGGGGAAAACGAATCGGTTACCTAACGTAACCTCGGTTCTCTCTAGATGAGGTTCTCTCGTATTGCGTAAGCTAGCTTACGCTGCGGGAAAGATTCATCTTTTCTGAGAAATTGAAGCCAAAAATTATCCTATAATTTTGTATCCATTGTCAACGCAGTTCAGCTGCAGCAGACCATGAGCAGGCTAGCTAGCAGCTCATTGGTTCGCTCACAGAGAACTGCTTAAGCCTATGAGGAGACGCGAATGAACTCTCGGCCAATGAGAGTCTGACCTGCTGTCATTGCGTCAGAGCCCGCCGAAACGGGCGTGGTCAGAGAGTATAAATTCGCCTCTCAGGCTGCAAACTCTGGTTTTCATAGAATGAAGCGAGAACGCTAGTAGCACAAGCACGGCCAGGAACGCAATACTTGTTCCCCTCATCTAGAGAGAACCGAGGTTACGTTAGGTAACCGATTCGTTCTCTTACGAGAGGTTCTCTCGTATTGCGTCAGGTAGCTTACGCTGCGGGAACACCTGGTCAACGCCGTGCGTGCTAAGCATCCACTATGAGTCCCAGGGGAGACCCCAGGGAACCCTTATGAGTGGGAATAATATATGTACATGTGACAAAGGCCAGCAGAGCGGGCCGGGGATTGTGAAGTACATAACCACGGCTATATTGTCCGAACGGATCAGCACGTGGTGACCGTGAATGCGTGGAAGAAAGCGCGTGAGCGCGTTCTCGACCGCCAGCATCTCCAAACAGTTTATGTGGAGGAGACTCTCCTGAGCTGACCATGGGCCGAAGGCCGGTGAGCCCTCGCAGACCGCACCCCAACCCGTGTTGGATGCGTCTGTCGAAATGACTTTTCGGCGAGAAAAGGTCCCCATGGAAACGCCCCGCTGAAACCCTTCTGCCAGGTCTGCATTACCTTTATCAGCTGGCGGCCCGTGGTCCACGCGCGGTGAGACACACGGCTCTTCAACCAGAACTGAAGCGGGCGCATGCGCAGTAACCCCAGCTGGAGCACTGCGGAGGCTGAGGCCATGTAACCCAGCGCCTTCTGAAAAGTTTTCAGAGGTGTGAGTCTGTTCATCTGAAAAGATGCGGCGAGACGCTGAACACGGCGCGCGCACTGTGTAGACAGACGAGCCATCATCGAGACCGAGTCTAGCTCTATACCCAAGAAGGAGATAGTCTGACTGGGTTGAAGTGCGCTCTTTGTCCAGTTGACAGAGAGGCCCAAACCTTTCAGATGGTCGAGGAGAACTGTACGATGAGACAGTAGCTCTCTCTGTGATTGTGCCAAAATCAGCCAGTCGTCCAAATAGTTCAGTATTCGCAGCCCCTGACTCCGCAGGGGGGCGAGCGCCGCATCCATGCACTTCGTGAACGTGCGGGGTGCTAGGGATAGGCCGAACGGAAGGACGGTGTATTGATAAACCTGGCCTTCGAAGGCGAAACGTAAGAATGGCCTGTGAAGGGGATTTATCTGAATCTGAAAGTAAGCATCTTTCAGATCCAGTGAAATGAACCAGTCCCCCTGGCGCACATGCGCGAGGAGTTTTCTGATAGTGAGCATTTTGAACGGTCTCTTCATGAGAACTTTGTTCAGAAATCTGAGGTCTAAGATTGGTCTGAGGCCGCCGTCTTTCTTTGGAACCAGAAAATAACGGCCGTAAAACCCCGACTCGCTCATAGATAGAGGAACTCTCTCTATAGCCCTTTTGCACAATAGTTTTGCTATCTCTGAACGGAGCAGAGTCACTGCTTCCGGGTTCACAATAGTTTCTAGCCGCGCTCGGAAACGTGGAGGGTGGCGGTGCAACTGTAAGCGATAGCCTAGCCTTATTGTGTTTAGCACCCACTGGGAAATGCCAGGAATAGCTTCCCACGCTTTGAAGCGTAACGCTAAGGGGTGAATGGCTACATGGTCCCCGTTGCTGCACACAGCGGGCTGCGCGGGCGCGCTCATAGTGTTTATGACAGCGGGACTTACACTCAGAGAAGAGTTTAAGGGCCGTGTAACAGAGTGAGCAGAGGTGGGACGCGCACACGGGCTCGTGGGCGCGCTTATGCACTCTGAAACTCGAGCGGGCTGGAACCGCTTTATGAGAGTGGGCTCTGTTAGACACACGGGAACTGAAATGCTTTTGTGTATGAGTGAACACAGTGTTGTGGGCACATTTTCTACACGTGAGGCTTTTATGCTCTTTTTGAGATTTCTCTGGGTCGCTGTGAAAACGGCGTTTGTGCTCATGCAAGCGGGAAAGGGGACCGGCTTGGTAATGGTGGGGTACACTGCTGTAGTAGCCGCGTGAGCGGGGACTAACAGAGGGCGAAACTTTGAAACCTCTCGTAAGAGAACGCAAGGTCTTGAGACGTGTTTTTAAACGCCGAACTCCTTTTCAATTGAACCGCGTTTTTAATACGCCGTGTCATGCGCGATACACTGCAAAGAAGCAATGAAAAAGCAGCACAGTGGATTGAAAAAGCGCGTTCTGTATGAACGGACCCTTATGCAAAAACAAAACTGTTTGAAAATATGTTTGTAGGCCTACAGATTTCCAGATGAACAGATTTGGAAAGGTGTGCTGTCTTTTCATTCCTCCATCTATTTGAAATCCATGGATCACCCTTGTGTTGTATGGAATTATTTTTGTGCCGATAATAATGAACGTAACTTTTCAAGAAACTAATGAAAATATAAATTTAAATTGAATAAAATATCTTTGAAACTGAAAAAGAATGAATCACAAGCAATTTTTTTTACTTTGTTTTTAATACACTGCATGTTTTGCTAACTATTCCTCATATTTCTTTTACTGATCTAAACTTACAAATGCGCTTCCAGAGTTTTCATTTACGCTTCTGAAGTTTTCGTTTACGCGCCCTGAGTTTTCGTTCGCTGTTCTGACACAAATCTCTCGTGGGGGCGGGGCTAGTATTTAATCAGTATTCTCATAATAGTAGCAGTATTCTCATAATAGTAGCAGTGTGTTCTCATTGGCTACTGAGTTTTTGATTGACAGCTTCTTGACCTGGAAGTGAAGACGTCAGTGTTGCGTTTACTTGTGTGGATGTGAGCGTCTGTAAGCGCAGCTTTCTATTTAATTTTAGTGATATTAAGTTATGTTTGTTTTTGAATTTTATCTGTATTTACCTGCTGCTGCTACTACTTTGTCAACAGAAACTTTTAGGAGCGCAAGAGATCTCTTCAGTCTATTCAGGTGTAATTGTACATCAAAGTAGGCCTACTGTATATGCCTACAATATTGTGTCCAATGTTTTAGGAGAATATTTGTTTATTCCTGATTATTCTTTTGCATTTTAGGCTCTGATTAGGTTGTGCTATTACAATTTAAAGAGAATAGCCTACTAGTATACATGTGTGATATATTCAGCCGTCAAGAAAGTTTCACTTCAACCAGGTAATCAAGGTTGGCAACCATGGCCATCAAATTTCTCATTGTTACCATATGCATTTACACCATCAAAATGTATGATCACTTAAATAAGAGGAATTTAAACTATGAAAATTACAATCGTGGCTTGCTGTCAGATGATACAGACCTCAAAGGACATTTCATTACATATTTCACACAAACAATATTTGTGTTGCCATTTTTTTAATCATGCTGATAATTTTATTTCATTTAGTTAATATTATCTTCTAACATTTAAAATTGTAAATATATTTGAACAATCATCAACCGGTTCAATTATGACTTATAAAATCAGTTAAATGAATTTAAATAAAAAATCAAATAAATTTACATTCTTTATTGTCACTACAGCATATACACAAGTATCAAAGTGAAAGTCTTGGATGCGATTATGTTGTGACAGGAAAGACCAGAAGCCACAAAACATTAACTGCATACTATACATGTAATGCACAGTATTCTCATAATATAGGCTACATACAAGATGCATAATTACAAAGATTTTTAAGGAAATAATTCATCTCTGTGAGTCCATATAAGACGAGTGGATTGTAACCCATGTATGACAGTTGGTCGGAAGTGATTTTTAATAGTTAAAACAGTTTACATTATTAGTATTTTTCTTATCCTATTGTTTCACTTCAGAAGGCATTGATTCATCCACTGAGGTCGCATGGACTTCACGGTCAGTGTGTGGTTTTTAAAGCATCTTTAGGACTCGCAGAAATGGATTACTTTCCTTAAAATCTTAATTCGTATTTATCTGTAGAAAGAAAGTAAAATGCATCTGGGACAGCATGAGGGTGAGTAAAATAAGTGAGAATTTTATTTTTGGGTGAACTTTCCCATTCATATGCTGTTGGAATGCTAATCCATGATCAGCATAGACTAATAAGAATAAACTGCAACCTCTTGTGTACTTGCAAACTGTGTTTGTTTTAATCTAGAGCTCCAAAGAAATTAAAATATTTGCTATTTTATAATATTAAAATAAAATACATCAGGTGTCTGAAGATCAGGATCCCAGTCATTCAAAGGTGATATGTCTGAACAAAGTAACATTATTGTCTGATGGAGACAGTTTATCTCTGGTATTATCACTCCATCCTCTGTCAGCATCAGAATTTTGTTTATGGAAAAGTTGCTCAACTCCCTGGAAAATGAGAAAGGAAATGTATTATAATCTAACAATACAAACTGATTTGAACTCCCACATGCAGTAACAAGTTGCAGACTTAAAATAATTATTTCAAACAAATTATATAAATGTTTTAAGGGATTTTACAATACTAAATATTTACCTCAGAGTCATGCACCATTTATCATCTGTAATACTGTTGTGTAACCAGTAGATGGCTGTATAGCCCTATAAACATTTATCCATGGCTGTGTATTCCCTAGTTGCTGGATGTTTTCAGTCATAATTACTTGCATGTATTAGGTTTTTCATTTGGACATATATTTATTATTAAAGACTATTAAAAATTCAACATTTTTCTCCGAAATGTTTTTTTTTTTGCATTATTGCTCAAATATGGACACAGAAAAAGCATTTTGTTGCATTTTGCAGAATAAATATTGCGCCCAGGGTGATACTTCAAAATAATTGAGTGTTTACATATTATGAATAGAGACGTGGAATGTGGTCAAGTCCTGTCTCTCCTCTTTTAAAAACTCTGCATCGCAAATTAATCAGCAATTGGCTTTACATTGCCAAAGTTGAATCGGGCAGTGATTGACAGTGCTCTGGTCCAATGGCATCGGTCATTGTCTGATACAGTACTTTTTGTACTGTAGGCTACAGTACAGATACTGTACAGTACTCTAGCCCAATGTTGTTTGGGGTGGCAGGGGGGAAATATGATCTAATAGAAGACTGTAATGTAACCGTATGTAACGTTAGATAAACAAGTCATGATTGGGCTAACTTACCAATTAAATCAAGACGACACTGCTGTATAATGTTATGGGCTCTCACTGAGCTCTAATATGCCTCTCCACCTGAAAAAGCAAGTACTGTATTATAAATAGTATTAGTTTAGTATTAATTAATAAAAAATAAATAAATAAATCTGACTTACCACGAGTAGGCTATCCAGTATTCTGATATCGACGATGACAAATTATATCATTTGTCTGTACTATTCCTTCTATAAGAAATCATCTCAACAATATAGTGTAGGAGTAAATAAATACAGATATAAACTTAATATCACCTAAATGAAATAGAAAGCTGCGCTTACAGACACTCACATCCACACATGTAAACACAACACTGACGTCTTCACTTCCAGGTCAAGAAGCTGTCAATCAAAAACTCAGTAGCCAATGAGAACACACTGCTACGTGTCACTTCCTTCTGCTCCGCTGCTTTGCGCATGCGTAGAAGTGCGAGAAAATAAGTCATTATTATGAGAAAGTTTTTCATTATTTTGAGATGTTAAGTCATTATTTTGAGAAAGTTTCTCATTATTATGACTTACAGAATTATATTTTTTACTCAACTATGGCAGAAACGGGCTTCCATACAAAACATAATTGTTTTAAGTTCCTGTTTTAGTGTTATTTATTAATTTAAAAGTTTCCATTAAGTGGAGAGATATAAAACACTTTCTAAAACAGCTAGCAGGTTAACCTGTTAAGTGTCACCCCCCTTTTTTTGAATAGACATGAAAATGCACATTTCGAACTTAAGTTGTAATTCAAGAATGCTTTGGAATATAGACGTAAGATTAGTCTTGTTTTAAAGAAGACATTTGGCAGATTTTTGTAGAAGTGAAATAAATTAAGAAAGTGAAACAGAAAAAAAGTTAGAAGTTTGAGTTTATGGAAATGTACAATGTAAAATAATTAATTATTCATATTTCATATAAAATATATATTTATATGAAAATATATAATAAAAAATATATATATTTTTAAAACCTGGCCTCTAAAACTGCAGAAAAAAATCAAAGCCAAAAATCTGAACAAGTTGTGTTTAAAATTTTAGGTTGATATCTCAAAAAATGAGCTTTCAGTAAGATTCTGTTTGGGCGCAGTACCAAACTTTTTCACTAGGTCACAACCAGACTCCATTACTGCCCATATAAGGGCGCCTCCATTTCCATATGTGTTTTGAGTGATCTGAACCATTATTTCCACAATTTTCATACAATTTATGAAGTAGAGATCCTATTCAGAAGTAGTATGGGAAGTTTGGCAGATTTTGATATGAATTCAACCTCTAAGAAACATACAAAGAACACGCATGTGCGTTATAGCTTGCTGCGGCTGCTGCCACATCACAAATGGTTAATTTATTATTTTTTTCTTTATATTTAAAAAATTTTCAGACCTTTTTTTCTAAAAGAATTGAATGGATGCTATCTTTTGAACTCTTGGCATGAAAACAAGGTTTCTTGTTTTTTCTTGTAAACCAACTGAGGTTTCTACCATTTTTCCATGATTTTTCATGTTCATTGCTATTTCAAAATAAAGGTCTGAACACGCCTTAGGAGTATGAAAATATTATTGTTGCAAATTGATAAATTACAGCTCCTCTGTAATTTATTTTGAAAACCAAATATGGAAACTAGAGATTGTAAGCTTTCAAATGAGATTGTAAGCTTTCAAATGATATATAGTTTGTCAATATTACTTAAGGTTTTTACTAAGATATCATTGTTTTAAAAATATAATGGCAAATACCTGTGGGACGGTGACAGTTATGACACAACCGTAGCACTTACAAAATAAAGTCTATTAACCCTCTGGGTACCAGAAACGCGCCGGCGCGTTTTGCTCGTTTTTTTTCACATAGCAGAAAAATAGACTTAAAGTACTACCATCATTTCTGTTCATATAGAGCTAAGAAATATGAGAAAATAATCTGTTAAATGTCTACTTTTTTATGTGCCCACATACAATCGAAATAAAATATTGTGCTTTTGTAAAATAAAGAAAATAAACAGGGTGTGCGTTCTGCCTCTCGGTCACCGTGAACTTTTTTTCTGGAGCACGTCTCTAATCTTCAACACAACTCAGCTAATACTATTCACCCAGCCATAAGCAATAATATATCTTTTAAATCATTTGAGTTTCAACATGACATCATGACTTTGCGTAAACATACACGCCACTTTCAATTCAAGTGGCGTGTTATCTATACGCATTTTGAGCTATCCGCGTGTATGTCCACGCCGAAATCTTTTGCGTGTATGTCTACGCCATTAAACGTCCGAGTGATTCCGCGTGTATGTGTACGCCGTTAAATGTCCGAGCGAAACGAAGCAAAATCTATATTCTACATCTGTGGAGCGATATTTCTTTTCCTAGGATGGTAGGAGAAGACTCATAAATGGTATTAACCCCAGTGACGGGTAGGTTTAGGGACGGGGTTGGGGTAGGTCATATATTTATATGTACATAATACAGTAATATAACGTAAAGTCAAAGGCGTTGATAAACACGCTGAAAAGCGATTATGCGTGTTGATAGCACGCCAAAAATGGAAATACGAATTGGCGTGTCATACATACGCCATTTCATGAGATCAGTCTGTGAGTTTGTACTTTTAAATGATCCGATTCAAAACTAAAATTAATATTCTCCGTTTATGTCATCTATATAAAAAGAGAGACGTGTCAGCCCGTCTCATTATCGTTCTCTCAGCTGATTATCTCTGGTAATGTGACACGCCCACGGAAAGCACGCGCTATTCAAACGCTAATATGTGAAGCAACACATTGAGACGAGTTAACGCCCATAAACTCTGAAAACACACATTATTTTTTAGTCAGATTAATCTACTGTCGTCTTGCGCGGCTATATGAGGAACAATCCTGGGACAATTTACCACAGAACAAGTGCTGGTTTATTTTCACTTCGAGGAGGAGCAACAGATTCAGCTGAGAAGTAAGTGTTTTATGCAAGTGCTTTGTTCTAATCGCGATATAGAATAATGTTAGTGTCTGTAAACGGAAAAATAGCATACTGTTGAAATGTGAATCATGTTTTTGTGTGTGTGTGTGTGTGTGTGTGTGTGTGTGAGAGAGAGAGAGAGAGTGAGTGAGTGAGTGAGTGAGTGAGTGAATGAATGAATGAATGAATGAATGAATGAATGAATGAATGAATGAATGCACAGATACGTACTGTTACAGACTAAATAAAAGACAACATTTCGTTGACTAGTTTTGGATAAAGTTTTTACTTTAAAATAGACATCAAATAAGCTTTTGTTAGGAGTTTCTGCTCATATGTTAAATATATAGTATGTTTTGTCAAACTAATCAACTAAGATGTTATAGTGTTTGTTCAAGCTATATCAAAATAATGAATCCTCAACTTTGAAATATGTATGATCAAACTAAGACATTTATGGAAAAAGACAATTTTCTTTTCAAGATGTTTCCAACTCTAACTTTGAACTGAAATAAAACCATGTCTATATGGTGAAGGGTGTGTGATAGAAGTGTCCAGACGTATGCACCCTGTATTTTCCTTATATAAATCCAAACAATCTAAAAGCCATTCTTTTTTAAATCTCCTCATTCTTTGTGCAAGGCTCCTGTAATGATATGGCCTGATAGCACCTAATAGGGCCATTATGGGAGGGTCTTTGTCTTTCTCAGGTGTGAAATGCCACACATATTAATGAGAGATCAAGCCTCCTGCATAAAGCTTTCTCAAACAAAACACGTCATTAAAAATGTAAAATACTTTATTGACTTATCTGAATGAGTAGTCAGGATGATTCTCACATAGTTTTGGAGCAAATATTCTAGACTATGTGATACAATTTTCAAAAGTATTGTGAAGAAATAATCAATATGTGTTTTGTGGTCTTATTTCAGCAACTTTCATTTTTATTTTATTTCAATAACCACGCATAAACATTATTCTCTTAAAAATACAAACATGTACATACATGTTGCTCACTTATCATGGTAGTCCCGTCTGTGCTATATAGAGTGCATTTACACCTTTGCCATTAACATGTTTATAAATAACTGAAAAAAGCACAAATGTCAGTGCATGTCAAAACATCCCAAGGGCCCCAAAAACACTCTGGTCCGTGAAAATTAATTTTGCACAATTACAGTAAATCTCTGGGTTTGAAATTTTTAAAAAAATCAGTATCAAATGGGCCAACATTAAATGGGTCAAAATATTTTCTGAATAGTTCCTTCAAATAATTGATGATTATCGTTATAAATGAAGTGCTTCTCTCAGCCTCCTCTCTTGCCTGCTGCTCATAATCCTCATTCAGCTTTTTCCTTGCTTTTTCATAGGCCTCATCCTTAAGTTTAGCCTTCAGAGCTTCCATCTCCCTCCGTCTCTGCTCCTCTATCTCCTTCAGGATACGTCGTTTCTCTTCCTCAATCGCTCTCTCTACCCTTTCAAGCATCTCACTGGTGTAATGCTGTCCACCATTTCCAGTGACTATTTTATCAATCTGGTCGAGCAACTGAATGACCTGTTCAGGATTTTGTTCTTTATTGTTGAACACGTGGTATCGTCCACTGCAAGTTCTGATGAATCTGAGCAGTTCTGGACTGTCCCGCACAAATGTGTGAATGTTCTTGTCCTCCAATCGATCTCCATGAGTGAACAGTGCCATGGTGTAAGTGGAGGATTCCTCACCAAAAACTGCTTGAATGATTCTAACAGCTTCTGCCTCTTCATCTGTGAATCTGCCCAGCTGAATCACAACTAAGAAGACATGGGGACCAGGAGCAGAGAGTGGAATACAGAGTTTAATTCTGTCAATGACCTCATCTGTAGTTAGGCTGGTGTCAAACAGACCCGGAGAGTCAATGACAGATACTTTTCTGCCATATATTAAAGCATGAAACTTTTCACAATGCCCAGTCACAGAGGAAGAGGATATCTCTGATTTAAAAACTTTTTTCCCCAGGATAGTGTTGCCTGTTGCACTTTTCCCCACTCCTGTTTTTCCAACCAGAAGAATCCGGAGCGGATTTCCTGTCTGATACACTTTGCATTGAAAAGAATATTAAAAAATTTTTTTTAAAAATTTTTGCAACAGTTACACAATATTTTTGGACCACTGTTTGGGAGGGGGGGAAAAAACTTTACCTGTATCATCCGAATCCTGAACTGAAACTTTTTGATGATTTTGTTGCCTAAACATCTGAAATTTATAAATGCAATATCAAATATTTAATCACATTTTTATTTGTTTAGCCAAAACATTTTTAGTGTGTGACTTGAATTTTGAAATACATACCTGCAACGCTATTGCAGCAGAGACACCAATTATGCCAATAACTAAAAGGTTAATGAAG